AATCCAATTTCTAAATCTTAGATTTACAAATGTAGAAACTCTGAATCTTGTATAATTTTAAGAACCTGCTCAAACCCGCCACTATTATTTCCAATCCATATTCTCCATCACAAGGGTTGTTTTCCACTGGATTTGGTCTTAATAATGCTTTTTGGCTTTCTTATGTACCAGGAAATATTGATCTTTTTTCTAAAATACAACCTGATCTGATCATTAAACCTTTTAACAAATAAGCAGGTAGCTACAGGTTGTTAAATATAAATGAAGCCTATTTTTTTGGCCATTCAACTTTGCTAATTTGACCTCTTTCTGAGCTGTCAGCCTCCATTCTGTAGTCAAAGGTTAACATCTTACCTTTATCATTCTGGCTTGCTGGCCAAGAAAGAGCCAGATTCACATAGCTTAATGAGCCCCTCTCCCTGCCCGGCTTGGTTTTCAATTTAATGGGAAAGAAGATAATTTCATATTATTATTTGATGAAAAAGTCTACTCTGTAAAGTACATACAAATGAATTCTTAATATAATTTCTGACAAGAGTGAAAGAGTGTTGGGATCATATTTGCAGGACTGAAAAAAATACAAAAGTTTAAAAAGCAAGTTTAAAAAGTTACCGGCTTATTAGTGCTGCGGACTTCATCACAAAATTATTTGCAACAGATGCGGAGATTAAAAAAATGGCAGAGGAAGGTGAACTGATTCGGGAACCCTTAAAGCAAGTGTGAAAAAAGGAAGCCCAATAGATAGGGACTCCTTGTTCAAGTGAGTTCAGGTTTCTGAATTCCTATGGTCGCACTTCTATTAAGTGTGAGGGACCCAGCAGAATTCCTAGAGTTGATTCATGATTGGTCAAAAACCAAACAATTGCAGAATTACCTGGCATGGGAACACAATTATTTTTTGGTTATCGAATGTCTGCTTTCCATGTAGCAATGTTTGTCAGAAGAGGCAATGGCTTAACAACAACCAGTGAAGTTGCAGTTGTGTTATATTAAAATGCACACTCAGCTTCCCAGTTTTTTAAGTGAAAGGACAAATGGGGTAATAGATACTTTCATGGTTGAGGCCAAAATACCTTGAATGGGGAGAACAAGTCCACCTAAATAAGCTAATTTTTAAGAGAGATCTCACGGAATAAAGATACACTGGGACCTTCTTAACCCAAGACTGGTGTTGAAAACCCAAACGGGCAAGTCAATGGATGGATCTGCAACAATCATGGATATTAACAATGCGGTTGGTTGAGTCAACTAAATATTCCCATGGGAAGTACGGACAGAAGGAAAGGGACAGAAGATAATTAGCAGCTCAGAAAAAATAAGCAAAGTTGGACATTTCATTTTGTCCTGGTGTAATAAATCCTATCCATTTTCTTTGTTGGAAAAGATACCATCATTTTTTTTCTGATCCTGCTCTTGTCCAGTTAATAGAAGCTGACACAGAGAAGTGGAATTAAATATTCTCCCCCCCCCCATACCACTTCATCCCAATGACAGAAAAGTCACTTCTTTTCTTTACTTCTATGTATCAAGTCTTCTGATAAACGTAGAGAAGAGACAGGAACAAAGTTGGCAGCTGAGTGCAAACCACTCCCTCCACTTCATGACGGTTCCTATGATCAATTTCTTTCTCCTCCACTGTAGTGTTTCGTTTGGACAACCTCACAAGACAAGTTTGCTTCCATCATATTATGGTGGGCTTAGAAAGGCTCTGGGCAACCTGTCATGCCCCCCACCCATGCCATTGCATGGCCTTGATCTTAACATGCACCCAACGATGCCAACTCAACACCAGTTCCAAATTTTGGTTCATTTTGTACAAGGCACTCCCGTGACTTAGTATCTTGCAGCCATGCTGATGGTCCTTTAATTATGGTAGAGAATTTAGGCATTGTATTTATGTATACAGGTGTCTAGTAAAAACCACAGATCAAAAAAGGAAAAAAAAAATAAGAGGAAAAAAAGTAAAAAAAGATCCACAAAAATGACTGTTTACTTATTTTGGCTCAAGAGAGCAGTAGATATGTTTCAGTTTCTTTTGGTTGATACTCTTGATTATATTCTCTACCACAATTTTACTACCTACTAGGTAGGATATGTGCATAGCAGGTATTGATGCTACCTAACAAGCACATGGCAAAATATGAGCAAAGAGTGCTTCATGTAAATAAATACATTAGACTGGATGTAGAGGAGTCAAGTGTACAGACTTTTTTTTTTTTAAAAAAAAGAAAACTTGAAATCCCAGGATCTATCTAAAAGAAAAGTGACCATACTATGAAAGTTCCTATCACTACCAATGATAGAATCTCCCCCTCTTTTATTTATTTTTGCAAAAGGAAAAAAAAAGGGAGGCTTACTGTTTCTTTTAATAAGGCACTAAATAGACATGTTACATAAAGGAAAGATACATTTTAAAAAAGTCTATAAATTCTTTGACTTTCACAGGATGATAAGAGTTATTCCTTGTTTTTATCTTTAAAAAAACTGCAAATTGGAGTTGTTGTAAAGCTATTATTAAGGAGCTATAGAGGGAGGTTGAGGTTGTCTATTCCTAGGTCTCCCACAAAAGGTGGCGTTTTTTTTAAAATGTTCATTTCTATATTTTCATTACGATCCCTTTAAAATATATATATATATATATATATATATATTTATATATATAAATAGCATCCCAAATTATTTAAAACCTTAAAACTCGTCAGGTTGCTCTCAAGACTTTCTTCTTCTTCAAGTAATACAAAAATCGCATAAAAACAAGAGTTATTGCCTTTATATCTTTCATTTATGTTACCTTCCTAGTTAGCATCTGGCAAAAACCAAATTACACCTCCTTGTATACACATACAGTTCCTTCTGCTAATTAGGTCTGGAACTGTGTAGCCGTAAAGATTGCCAACTTCTCAACTGGCCCGGGTAGGTGTTCCTTTATCACAGGGGTTCCAAACCGGGGGTGCACGACGATATTCCAGAGGGTATGAAAACGTGGGTTTAGAAGTTCCAAAATTAGAGTATATATGCATAATTATATGCATGTAATTATCTACTTTTGTAAGGGGTGTGAGAATATATCAGAAGCATTCTAGGGGTGCGGCAGAGGTAAAATTCAGCAGGTTCTGCAGAACCGGTAGCGGAAATTTTGAGTAGTTTGGAGAACTGGCAAATACCACCTCTGGTTGGCCCCAGAGCGGGGTGGGAATGGAGATTTTGCAATATCCTTCCCCTGCCACGCCCACCAAGCCACGCCCATAGAATCGGTAGGGAAAAAAAATTGAATTTCACCCCTGGGATGCGGGATATAGAAAAGGTTGGGAACCCCTGCCTTTATCAGCAGCTAAAGATGTCCAGTGAGCTCAACTGCCTCTTTTTTATAGTTTTGATCAAAGGCTGATGATATAATTAGAAACAGGAATATTGATACCCTTCAGTGATCAGCAAAGATCGAGATAGTAATTCTGAACTCGAGATACCGATTGGCCTGTTCTCCTCAGTCTGTGCAAATATGGTGAGATCATAAATTTCTAATCTCCACTCTGTTCAAAGCTCTGTTGTCTGCCCAGGATGGCTTGTTTTCGGAAAAACCGACTACTTTCCTAGCTAAAACTTAAAACGTTGTGCATTGTCTAGAGAGATCCAGAGATGGATATTCTGGAAATGTTTAAACACTTTCTTCCTCTTCCTCTTTGTCATTTATGCCTTTCACTCTCTATTACTCAAATCATATATGGATTAACCATGTGGATTGAAAACAACCAAGCAGACCTTTATACCTTAAAAGAAAGTGTAAACAAAAGACAAAATGGTTGAGAGAGAGAGAGAGAGAGAGAGAGAGAGAGAGAGAGAGAGAAAGAGCGAGCGAGACAATGCTTTAAAGAAACAGTTGACATGAGGTGATTTGTTTGTTTGAAGGTCAGATGCACCCTTGATCCAGAATGATCCAGAAGGTAAGTGCCAGTGGTGGCTTATTACCGGTTCGCACCGGATCGGGCAAAACGGTAGCAGCGGCGGAGGGAGGCTCCGCTCATCCACCCGGATGCAAGCGCGCGCACACGAGTGAACCAGTAGTGACAGGATTTGGAATCCACCCGATAGGTACACCCTTGATCCAGAAGGATCCTGATCGCAGATGGCAAACACAGACCAACATTGCTAAGAGGTTATGGATTTGCTTCTAAAACCTAAACATGACTCTTTTGCCTTGAATACATCATAGTAGCTGAAATATTTCCATCTACATATCTCCCCTATTCCCCAACTGAAATAAATAAAACACAGTTAACCATCAAAGGCAGCAGTCAAGAGAGGAAGGTAATTCAGCAAGGGTGGTCCTCAGGACCCCGTCCTTTTCTTTCAGAATGGAGTGACACACAAAGATAGATGGAACTTCAGACCATGAAGCATAGGGCTGTCTGCAATTTCCTTAACCCAAGTGTTTGGCCCAAGTGCCTGGCACTACTGTGAATAGCTAAGTGGAATGCTGATTTAGTGGGGGGGATTAATATAGCTTCCCTATTATTATTTTTTTTAACCCTGCTTTTTAGTTTGAACCTGAAATTTGGGGCGAGTGGTTTCTTTCCTCCACTTAGCAGGATGCAAGGTAGAACTAGCAAACTTCATTTGGCTCTCAGGAGAAAGTCTGCAGACTCAGATTAGCAGTTGTAAAGAAGGACAAGGATCATCTTCCTTTAACCGTGGGATAAACGAAAAGAATTTTAGAATAAACTCCATTTGTGGACCCAACAGGACAAGCATATGCTGGTCACTGGTCCCGCCTCTTATTTAAAAATTAAAATTAAAAAATTAAAGCAGCACAGGGATCATGGCTTTGCCAGGTGAGCAACCTTCACTGATAAAACTTATTTAAAATCTTACAAAAAGCAGGGTGCCTGATCCATGGGGCCAGGAGCGCCATTAATCTCAAAGGCAGAATTTCTAAATATTGATGTTCCTTCACTCCTTTTATTATCTTAACCAGAGAGAGCGCCAAATTATTTTGTTATTAAAAAAAAAAATGATGACAATTAGAAGCCATCACCCGGTCATTAAAAAAGAAAATAATTTAATGACCGTGTATGCTTTTATGGCCTTCCTGAAATTAACAAGACAATAAAAATAGGACAGACAATTCCAGTCTGCTTTTTGGAGGGCTGGATTTTGCAAAATATAAAAACACCTAGGTGCTTCAAAGCTCTGGAGCAGAAAAGTAGTTTATCTAAGCAAGCAGTCGCTTTTAGCTTCAACTCTGAGACAAATTCTACTTTGATGGAAGGAGAACAAGTGGTAGAAATATCAAGAGGGAAAAGTCTTGCTTAGGCATTGTTCTAACTCAGTGTTTCTCAACCTTGGAAGCTTGAAGATGGGTGGACTTCAACTCCCAGAATCCCCCAGCCAGCTGAGCTGGCTGGGGGATTCTGGGAGTTGAAGTCCACCCATCTTCAAGCTTCCAAGGTTGAGAAACACTGTTCTAACTGCACACAAGTTCAGGATGAACAGACCCTTCCAATTGGGCCCAACACACGGTGCTAACGTTTTGCACAATTAAGCTCTTCATTTTTGAATTATTATTTTTTTCATGCTTTCCAATAGCCATAAATCAATTTCACATGTTTAATGTTCCCTTAAAAAAAAAAAAAGATTTCATAGGGAATGTAGGATTATGTAAGCATTATGCTGCTTGACAAGCCTGGGAATGAACACCCAAGTGCAAAAAAAAAAAAAAAAAAAAACAGTATAAAGAAAATACATAGGCATCAGATCAATGGAGAAACATGTACTCACAGGTGTAGAAATGGCCTCTTCCCCTTTTGAAGCACACAGAGGGGGAAACTGTGGGGCATGGGCACAATTACCTTGTTCAATTCTTTTAAAGGGGCCATTTTTATACATGCTCGGCCCCTTCACAGTTAATGAAATACATGTAGATGATGGGTTCTGGTCTCTTTTATTAGGCATCCGTCTGTACTTGTCGATAGGTCTCAAGGAACTACCAGAGGTCTAAGAGAGGGTCATGTGACTCTGAAGAATTAAAAAAAGAAAATTTTGCACAATATGCAGTCTTTCTCCTCCCGCCCACCCACCCCAGGACTCTGTTCAGACCTCAACGTACTTTCCTCAACAGATTTATGGTAGACAGGATAAGAGATTTCTAACCAACACAAGCACTGACACATTTATATTAAAAAATAGTGCAAAATTTCAACATTTATATAAATAATTCTAAACCCCTGCTTTTGTTTTTTTTTCTTTTTTTCCTATTGTTTTTCTCTTTCTCACTTTTTTTTTACAACGTCATACATGCTTTCTTGAGTCGGCTCTCAAAAGTTGCCATGTTTTATATTCTAAGTTCAGAAAAAAAAACCACAACACATCGTTTTTTCCCCTTCAATAGGCCTCTTCTAATATAAAAATACTCCTGCTTCCCACCCCCACACACATACAGTTTCTCTTACTTTTTTTTAATATATATATTTATATATATATTGCAGATTTTTAAACAAATGTTTTTGTGCAAATATTTTTTTTTCAATCTTTAAAGTTAAGTGAAATAAAACAAAACAAAACAAAGAAGTTGTAGCATCCACACGCGCGATTCAACGAGATACAAAACTGGGGAAAGGGGAAAATGGAGGAGGAGGGGGCGGGGGCGGGAAAGGACTGCTGTAGATTTATTTAGAAAGGAAAAAAAAATCAAAATCTTCCTAACAGAGCTCAACAAAGAAATGTTTTTGCAAGTTTTGTTGGCTTGTGCATTCAGACCAAACATAACATGTAAATATTTATACTACACAGAGGTGGAGAAGGGTGTTTGGTTCTGCCCCCCCGTCCCCGTCTCCATATACTACCCCCCTCCTATTTATCAAGAAGTGCAGAGTGTTTCCTTTCTTTTTTTTTCTTTTTCTTTTAAAAAGGGTGCCCTTTCTGTTTGTCTTTCTCTTTGTTCCACATCGTTGTGCTCTCAAGATTGCTGATGGGCGAAGGCGAAGGGAACGAAGGCACCCCACTGTTGTTCTGCTGGTGCTGGTAAAACGTAGATCCCGGGAAATGGCCAATGACCTCATTGTACGTGGGAGGAGGCCCTTCCATTCGGCTGTTGCTTCCGTAGCAGGTCGCACTGATGCCCGAGTTGCTGCTCGGAGGGCAGGGCCCACCATAGACTGAATTATCTATCAGGTCACTGTCAAAGATGGTTCTGTTGGGAGGAGCTCGGACCGACTCCCTGTTGAGTTCCATCTGCTGCTCGGGGTCTCGGAGCTGCAGGGTGCAGGGCCCCTGATAAGGAGGCGGCTCTTCTCCATCCGAGAGGGAGATGGTAGGGGGCAGGTCAATTTCGTGCTGCATGTAAGGGTAGGTTGGCTGGAATCTGTTGAAGCGGTCTCTCTGCAAAAAGGATGGGACGGCTAGTCTGTCGGTAGGCCTAGGTGTATAGACTTGCTGCTGGAGAGAAGGAAGAGAAAAAACCATGAGGTTGCCATGCAAACCAAGAGCTGGGCTTTATCCTCAATTTCATGTCTGTTCCTTACCTCTGTTACACCATTTCCTGACACTGTGCTTTCCGAAGGCCATAAGCTGCCATCCTAAAAGGTGGAAAGAAGACAGCATGTTTTTAGAATAGAATAGAATAGAATAGAATAGAATAGAATGGAATGGAATGGAATGGAATGGAATAGAATAGAATAATAACATTATTGTCATTTTGAATGTACACTATTCAGCATACATTAAAATGAAATTTCGATGCATACAGCTCACAAAGGGTCACCGCCTCCAATATAATTTTGTATTTTATTTATTTATTTATTTATTTATTTATTTATTTATTGTTTGCTTGTTTAGTTTAGTTTTGTCATGTTTATGTAGTGCATATTGGAGGTGGTGACCCTTTGAGAGCTGTATGCAATGAAATTTCATTTTAATCTATGGTCTACCTTTTCTTAAACCCAACACCTTAAGATAGTATAGAGGTTTGAAAGCACCTGCTCCTGTGTGGCTGAGGAATCTACCCACCAAGCAGGTGATGTGTCAATAAAGAAGGTCTCCAGGTGTGAATGCCCTCCATATTAGGGAAGCTAAGTGGCAGAGAACCTGTTGGATATGCTGAAGATCCTGGGCCCCATGGCTGCATGCAGATACAAGTAATGCCTGGAACCCTGTAGAGCAGAAGTGCCACACTAAACTGGCATTTTGAGGACCTCTCTCAAAAGCAGAGCTAGGAATTAGTGAGTGGAGGTTGTTGGGGGAATCAAGAGGTTTCACATGTATTACAATCCTACACAAGGCTTAAATTACCAATTTTATCTTTTAACATTCGCCCTCCCCCTCCTTTGCAAAACGTAGGGACAATTATTTGGCCCTGCCCATTGTGGAGAAGTTTGAGGATCACATCTCTCCCATTTTGCACTCCGAAGAAAAAGTTGTTGTAAAATCAATGATATTGACTATAAGAGACCGCAGTTGTTTTAAGAGTTGAAGCTGGCAGAACAGATTCTTGTCTAATGATATTTCAGAAGGTTTTGAATGTGACAAAATTCAAACTGTTTTTCGTAGGTTTAAGATCTCTCTGAGTTGCAAAAGAGGGGTATCACATTAATGTCTACAACCTATTTTAAAACACAAGAGTATTAAAAATGATAAGCCTTCATTAGTAGTGTGTAGTTTTCAAATCCAAATGCTGATTTAGAGGACATTAAGGAAAGTGAGTGATTATTTATTTATTTATTGAACTCTTCTTAGAAAACTACTCCTTTTCAAAATACACTTTGAACTGCAACATACTATTTGAGGGCAGTGTTAAAAAAATAAGAAAATAACCACTTATTGAAATATCTAAGTATTTAATCTTGTTACTGAATTCAAGGTGACATCCCTGTATTTTCTCTATTCAATCCTCATAGCAACCCTATAAAGTTGATTTAAGCTCAGCCAAAGGGAAACAAATAGTCACTGAAGACAAAAAAAAATCAACACAATTCCATATTCATGTTGCTGCCTTTTTCAATATATTGGTTAAGTAATCAGGCCTTTATGGTAAGCTACGTTTCTATCATGATTCTTTATTGGTGGAAGCCAGATTTCAGCAAGACAGCTCAATCCATGGCTTTTATTGAGAATAATGAGTATCAAGTATCCTTTGTTCTTAACCTCTTGTTAATTAGCAGTAGAAAGACACAAAAAGAAATGAGTGTGATTTCCTTCCAAATTCTCCATTTCCCTATTATTTCTGTGTCTTCTTTTGCTGAAATGCACTTAATGTGTTTTTTTGTCAGAGACTAGGAAATTCCTACTGCAATTTCTCTCTCCCCCCCCCCCGCAAAATAAGAACTTATAAGACAAAGCAAGCATTTTAGCGCATATTTAAAAGCTTAATCCATATTGTTTCACCTTGCTGCCACATGAATGTCTAAAACAGTTCTTCCCTGCTGAGCCTTGTTAGCTGGGAATTGCAATTCAAATGCATTTATTGGTGATTAAATTTAAGAGGACTGTCTAGAAAGTTGTAAATCACAAAAGTGACTCTTATCAGAAGAACTGGTTAAAATGGAAGCTGTGGAACACAGTAAGGACAATTAGGTTTAGAACTTGGAAAGCTCAAAGGCACTGGAATCTAATCATTTATACTACTTTAAGCTGTGACATTTGCTTGGAATTTTCATAATGGGATTATAAACATTAGATTTGAAATTTCCCTTTATCCAAATCTGAACTTCCCCAGGGTTATTTCATCAATGAGTTCTCAGCTTTTTCACTCAGGCTTCAGGATCTACAGCATATTGAATCAAATATTGCATGGCCATGCATGCTTTTAAAAGAAAATCAGCAAAAATGAAAATTGTACCTCCAGTTGAAACCAGAAGAGGGGGTGACAAATTTATTGGTGTGCATCTAAACCAAACTACCTGATAATTGGCAATTATCACGCAATAAGGGAGTTATACAAACTTTGCATAATGAATGCAAATTGGATAGAAACTCCCAAAGTTATAAGTAGCAAGAGACAGGATGCTAGTCTGTTCAGATCAGTAGGAAAAAAAAAGAATGTATTATCCTGTTCCTGCCTATGAAGTTTTACATGACTTCACTCCAAACCAATGTCAACTCTGGAGGGATGAAAAAATACTCTATTTTTGCACTCTGTGATGTTTTTAGTGCCTCGTGTAGGCAAAATAAGTTAAAATTAAGATGGCTTCAAAGGTGAAAGTATGCCATGAAATATACAGGCTACAGTACCAGCCTGTCTTGCAGTATATTTAGGCATCAAATGCCTATCGAATGCATTCTGTTCCATTGTGTCTTAAAACTCTGCTCTGCGCTCAGAAGCCCCAAGGCAGTGCTGCTACTCTAAGAAGGGAAAAGAAGTGATTTATATGGAAATGAACCACTCCAGATGTTTTCCCCTTCCTTCTGTTTTATAGCAAATCTTGTCACAAAAATGCCTCTGTATAAGATAAGGGACCCCTTTGAAGTGAAAGATAACGGATTGCCAGCGCTGATTTCATACGGCGTATTAATCCAGTTGCAGCATTTGACTGATGTAACTAATAAAAAAATCCATATTTCAGAAAGCTGTTGTGAGCCGCTGCGGAATTACAAAGTCAGGTGGGACCCGAAATTTGGTTTCTCTTTTTAATTTAACATAAACAATAACCAGTGTACCAAAAATTAGCGGATGTACCTCCAGATGGCAAGAAATAACTGTGTCTGTTTCACCAGGTGAAGATTTCATTAAAATAAGAAAAGCAAGCAAGCAATGCATTAATATTTGAAAATTTCCACCAAAATTATTCCATTAACTTCTTATTCGGGTTACGGTTCCAGGGAAGTCATTTTACACTTATATAGAGATGACTGTCTCATTTGTTTATTAATTTCTCCTGACTGTTTTCCAGAAACCGAAGGCAGCCTAAGTAGCATTTCTTGCAATTTTCTCCCAAAACAACAAGCTTATAGGGTAGGCTCCACTGAGAGGCAGGGATTGGCTCAAAACCACCCAATAAGCTTTCATAGCTCAGGGTAGACTTCAATTTGGATTTCCCAGGTCCTAGTTCAAATTCCTAATTAGGATAACTGCGACTTTGTGAAACTCACATCAGAGAGACAAACTGAATCAAGGGCCTTCTTCCCCATACTTCATGTTAGTTCTATATTATAATTCTAGAGTGGATTTCTAGATTCCAGCCAATTCTAGATTTACTGAAGAGTAGTCCAATATAAGTATGCGGCACTCACTTTCATGAAGACAGGCATAAAAACTCATTATGTCTCAAACAATATGTAATAGTAGCTTTCAAAAGGTTTTCATGCCGAGACCAATTTTGGTCTGGATCTTGGGTTTGGATGAGACATCACAGGCTGAGTTAAAAGTGTGATCCTCCACCCTCCTTGAATTGGACAAAAAATGATTATTTGTTCTTCTCATCGCTGCTCCCTGAATTGCTGCTGATTATGTGTATCCTGATTATGTGTGTGCTGTGCATAATACAGAAAAGGATTGGTTGAATAACCTAGCTCTGTTAACCTTCCTCTTCAGCACATCACTAGCCGACAGGACAAACATCTGTTCCTTGTTTTTTTTAATATTAATGTTTTATAGTTTTTATGGTTTACAGCCCCGACTTTTGTGTGAGACGGGTAGCCATATAAATTGGATGGATTGATAGATCTGTCAATCATGGCACTACAGCAGGTATAGAGTGAGTCTGATTGCAGGTATGTCTGTTATCTCAAAACTCTATCTGGGTTTTATCTTACATCTATTCCAGCATCACCATACTTCAATAAGGTTAAACCATAGATTGAAAGGGAGCTGAACCAAAGGCACCATTTCTAGTACAGATTTTCCTCTCCTTCCTTTCCCCTCTCTGTAAAGGCTTCCTTTATACTGACTTCCAGATTCTTTGGGGTTATATTTTGGAAGCAATGGGGTAGGATTTGAACTGGTCCACTCAACGGTGACACTATTTCAGCCTTGCGCTAAACTAGCAAGGAGCCAAGCCAGCAAGGCTGTCTAACACTATTGAGCAATTCTGATACACCCCCGCTTAAATTTACTACCTACTGATTGTTCCCACCATTCCACAGGGGATGTAAAATCGTCACGTCTATCTATCATATTCAACTACCGCTGATAGACAAGGATTTGCTGGAGGGAGCTGTTTGCATGAAGCTACAGGAGGGTGGCCAAAGAAATACGAAGGGAACATTTGTTTGCTCTATCACCCTTATGAAAATCGAAAGAGTTATTGTGTTTAGAACAGCACAATGACAGGAAACAGGGCTGATCAGAGGCTGACCAGAGGCCCCCGAAACACCTAATAAATGCCCCATTGACCTCAGTCACAATTGGTCACCCAACATGCTATCTGATGCAGCCACCTTAAAGGGGAAGACAATTATTTCAGCAAGGGTACAGCAGGGAATAATTTAAGCCTGCCTCACTCAAGAGTTGAGGTTGAGATGAAGGCAACGTCATGCAGATCTGGGCATGAAAAAAGAGGGATCCAGGGTTATGAGGACTCAGATTGTTGGGGGACAATATGCCAACTCTGTAAAAACGCTTAGAGGGGGCTGTAAAGCACTG